ATGTAGCTCTTCATGTAGAACCACAAGTTTAAAAAAGGACATTTTAAGTATTTCATTCCACTTATCCATGTAGCTCTTTTTACACGCTAAGAAGAGGAAGAAAGGCAGGATTAAAAGAATAAGTATAGCGAAAAGTTGGTTCATTTGGTTGTTAAGATTCATGATATCAAAGGATATGTGTTGCATATAATGATTAGGTTGTGGAGATGGTCATCAACTTACCATACAAAGTGATAGTATGTAAATGAAAAAAGTTTAACCACCAAAGTTAACACGGGTATTTCAAGCAAACAGGACAAACGGGGTAATTATATACCTATCACATCCATGGACTGGAATTTAATAATATCCCACAACAAACACTAGTACTAAATTCTTATATACTAATGGATTTTAAAAGATGTTCTGTAAATGATAGGTTATATGTAAGCACTCAGGTAGTTTTAAAGTTTAAACAGAGAGTGTTTAAACATCGTACTGGGAATGAATGAGAACTGGGTTGTAACTTTAAACCTTATTCATGTCTCTATGAGAGTAAAAATGTGGTCTACGGATTATAAAAAAACATGTCATGAGGTAGATTTTTTGAAGAGTGATATTATTGTACTTTGAGGGGGTTTGAATTTGACGTTGGTTGTTGAAGAAGTTTTTTTGTCCTTGTCTAAGATGTTCGTTTTGGCATTGTTCGTTTAGTTTGGTATATTTTGTTAGATGTTTTTTGTATGTGTTAACATTATGAAGTTAGTAATCAAATTAGAACATTGAATACATGCATAGAGAGAGGTAGAGAGGTAGTAAATTTTTTTTGAAATGTGTAATATGGAATTAAGAGATATTATAATGATAAAGGGTAAAGATTATGTATGTATGTATGTATGTATGTATGTATGTATGTATGTATGTATGTATGTATGTATGTATGTATGTATGTATGTGTGTGTGTGTGTGTATATATATATATATATGAAAAAAGTGATCAACTTACCATACAAAGTGATCGTATGTAAATGAAAAAAGTTTAACCACCAAAGTTAACACGGGTATTTCAAGCAAACAGGACAAACGGGGTAATTATATACCTATCACATCCATGGACTGGAATTTAATAATATCCCACACAGTAGTACTAAATTCTTATATTAAAAGATGTTCTGTAAATGATAGGTTATATGTAAGCACTCAGGTAGTTTTAAAGTTTAAACAGAGAGTGTTTAAACATCGTACTAGGAATGAATGAGAACTAGGTTGTAACTTTAAACCTTATTCATGTCTCCATGAGAGTAAAAATGTGGTCTACGGATTATAAAAAAACATGTCATGAGGTAGATTTTTTGAGAAATGCATAGTGATGAAAAAATGGAAGCCTCCACTGTGCATGCAGTTTCTTTTAGTCCTTGATACTTAAGAGGATCTTGTGAGTGGTGCTCTGGGAGTTGATGTAGTCCCCACACTTGTGGAATACGATATCATGTGATCTTACATACAAGAAACCTTAAAAGGATTTTGTGAGGGGTGGTTTGGAGTTGATGTAGTCGCAACGCTTGGGGGAATATGGCCATGTGTTTAGAAGCTTATGATAGACTGGTTTATTACTCCTAAAATGACATGAGGGGTGGTTTGGAGTTGATGTAGTCGCAACGCTTGGGGGAATATGGCCATGTGTTTAGAAGCTTATGATAGACTAGTTTATTACTCCTAAAATGACACAAGCGTTGGGATTCTAATTCCTTGATACAAAATTAACTTTTTCTATCATCTACTTGGGAGGTTTTTGTTTTTACTGTAAAGATGATGATGCGTGAATCTTTGAAGACGGGGTTCCAGGATGTGGTCAAAGACTAACCTCCTAATCTCCTCTATATTCCTGATTCATCTTCACTATGTCTGTGTGTGTGCCTCCATGATTTCCATAAGTGTACAATCTGGAGATGTGGTAAGCATTCTATCTGCCCCCCGTATACATCATTCATCAATGATGTTAAATTACCCATCTCATCCTTCTATTTGAAGGTGTGTTTGGAATGACACATATACTACGCTATAGACACACGCACAAAGAAACACATTAATGACACTGTGCTGGCATTGTACCTCAGTTCAGACTTGTTAATCTAAAAGATTGGTTATAAAGATGATATGGAGTGTGATTTAGGAGTTATAAACAATGATAGAAGTTTTTAAAAAACAACTAATATATTGTGGGGGGGTCGAAAACCGGTTAGGGAATAGAGTATTACATGCACTCTCTATTCAAATAAAAAAGGAACATGGTAAAAATTTTAATTTGCAGTCATTAGTTATTACCAGTCATTACAGAATAAAGATATAAGGTGGTCACTTGGCCTTTGTATCGGTTGCAAAGTTCAGGCTCTATTAAGAATTGTAGTTTTAGTGAAGTTACATAAGATATAATCGTGAATGCAAATGCTTCTACATATCCTGATTCCAAAAATAGGAAATACCAGGTAACCAATTGGTATGAATAAGTTGAAAGCAATCATAATGTTCTCAAATATCTGCATAAATCCCCATTTAATTCCACACTCTCAGAAACGCAGACTTTCATAACAGATCTTCAGTATGCATATGTATGAAGGGTATATGTTTATATAGTAATTAGATGATGATGAAAACATATATCCAACAACATGCTGAACACACGGTATGTTAGATACGCAAACACCTGAGATGGAGTAAGTTCCAATGGGTGTTGTAAGATAAAAGCTTTTGATATCGTAAGAAGGCCAACACTCTCAGGTATCTGTAATATATGCCTTCTGCTTGACAACTCAATGACCGCATATGCGAATCACTACATGCTTAGTGGATAGAGATGCCAATGGCAATTAATAAACTCTATTAGTCAAAAAACAGCAATGAGCAATGCTAGTAAAAAATATTTGCTAGAAAATAAACCGCTTAGCTGTTATAGAATATATGGCTGAACCGAATTGAACTCACCAACCTTTACTCTCCGCATAGCATTTTCTGGCTCGTAGGTTCTCAATGGAATAATCTAGTTGCGCTAAGAAAGGGGATGAAAAATACTACAATTAATATGGTGTGGATGAGGGAAATAGAGAACAACTGAAGGTAGTGGATGGCAGAAGAATTTATGCCAAAGGAGGGAAAATTTGGTGTTCAAGAGAGGTGAGAGAACCCTGAGTAGGAGGCCAAGGAATTGACCCTCATAGAACCGATCATAAGAGGTAAATATAACCATAATCCAATATAGGTTATGATAAATATTTTAAAAAAAAATCCTAACATATAGAGTTTAGGTGAGAAATGAAAACCCTAAGAGAAGATCCAGTGATAGGAACATAACCCGGACAGTAACCTTCAATGTCTAAGGTTCTATCCTTAATGTCTAAGGTTCTATCCTTGAACGCTAGATCTGAAACAGGGAAAGTCTCATAACTGGAAAGCAGCGTAGTGGTAATATATTCTCCATCATACATCAAGGATTATCGGACATGAAGCAAAATTCCGTACTTAATGTAACCTGCCAACCTTACATCTAACCCTAGAATAGCACTGAAATGTGAAATACAACTTTCTTAGTAATGCTGCAAATCAGAAACACAAACCAGGGGACAGGGGGTACCATACTAAAGCATAATATGAATCCATATTCCACAACCATGAGACTCAGGTGTAAAAGAAAAAGAATGAAGACTATCACTATTCCATTCAGTGTATTAGACTAAAAAATGATCTCTAACCTGCCCAAACCCAGAAAAGGTAAACCAAAACAAAGAAACAAAAAATCACAATCTCGTAATAATAAATCTTCTTAAAAGAGAATATTTTATGAAACGCCATATAAAAAAAGATAACACTCTTCTACTTGGTTATTTTGGTAAATTATTGCTCGACATCCTACTTTGTTAAAGAGCACACTCTTCTCTTCTATGAGCTCTAACATTATGAGCATCCTGTGGAGGGCTGAATGAATGAGGAATAACTCACCGGTTATGCACCAAATTAACTCACTGGGGAGCTGCGTTCTCTGCCTTTCGCGCTGTCCACAAGCGAAAGGGAATTACAATACGTGAACATGGTGTTTAAGTTGAGTGAAATTAATTTCTTTTTTGGGTATCGGTGCATTTACTGCCAATGAATTCTAATTACGGGCGTTTGATGTTCTTGTGATTCTTATAAGCTTGACACCAAGTTTAAGGTGAGAAACGAAAACCCTACGAGAAGATCCAGTGATAGGAAGATAACCCAAAGAGTAACCTTCAATGTCTCAGATCCTATTCTTGAAAGCTGGTTGTTAAACACGCGAATTCTCAGAACTGGGAAGCAGTGTAATGCTAATTTATTGTCCCTCATACATCAGGGATTAATGGTCATGGTCATGAAGCAAAATACCTACCTAATGTAACCTGCCAGCCTTACATTTAACCCCAGAATTGCTCTCAAGTCTGGAATTCAACAACTTTCTTCAGGTGAATGATATCTCTCAAGGTGGGAATATATGTACAGAGTGACTTCAGCGTGGCACCATTTTCTCCTCACAAAAAGGGAGTAAAAGTAGAGTATGTATGAATGTTGAAGAAAGTATAAGAAACCAAACACTTTGTATTCACTCCAGATGTTTCCTGTAGCACATCTTTGCGGGCCACGGGCCATAAATGAATAATTGGCTGACTGGACTATCTTGTGGCTACACACTCATTGGACTGTGGCGGTGCATATCCGTCCAATTACTGTCTGGGGTGCCAATGGCCAATATCACCCTAATAATTGTTGACCCCAGCAGGAAGTTAAAGGGGATGGTAACAGAGGACCGCAGGCCTGGGGAATTGCCAGTGTGGACCGTCTGGAGTTCTGCGCCACTTAAATATCCATGGCCCACCTTTCCAAACCCTTTTTGACCGGTTTCTCTGATTCCTTTAATTGCTATATAGGACCGTTTCATCTTCCCCTTCTCTTCTTCTATAAATCCGGTCCTTCTCTTCTCTTTTCTCACACTCTCATACCCTGCGATTCCTTGCCCTCTCATCTTCTGCCGAACTAGCCTTCCTCCTTGAAATTTATTCTCTCTCACCATGAAGAAGACAATCTCCAAGGTTTCCAAGATCTTCAATGGTAGTAAGAAACCCAAGGAGGACGAGAATGTTTCCTCCATCACTCCTGCGCAGTTGGGGGAGATGAGGGGAGTCATTCCTCCTGATTATGGCGTCCAGGAAGCCACGGGTACTACTTTGGAGCGCAATCCTGACATCTCCCGCCGACTGGTCATCCACTATGACTCGGTTAGGATGGGATGCCGCTTCCCTCTCCATCCCCTCTTGATCGAACTTTGCAACCGCTACGCCATACCTCCCGGTCAGATTTCCTCGAACTCCCACGAGAGTCTTTTTGGCTTCTTGGCGCGGTGTCACAAGAGAGGCATCCAACCCACTCCGAAGCTCTTCCTCTCTTTCTTCCGTCCACATAAGTACGACAGTGAGTTGGGCCGGGGGTACGTGAGTTTCATGGCCCGGACCGATATGCAGTTTTTGGACAGCCCCGTTGACAAACTTGATGACTTGTTCCGCCGCTTCTTCGTGGTGGTAGTCCCGGAGAACCTCCCCTTCCCCAATGTGTGGCGAAAGAAGGAAGACCAATTTCCTTCCCATACTTTTCCTCCGCGTGATTCAGAGCTTGATGGGATCTACCGTCTCCTTCTCAAGAACGGCCATCCGGTTCCCCGAGCGCTTCTCTTCAAGGATTCAAACCTCCGGGGTCTCGGATTCTAGGTGTCTCCCGATATTCCTCTTCAAGAGCCGTCGAGAAACACAACTTTCTCTTGGGTTCCTCCTTTCAGGAGCACTCGACTCCGTCGGCGATCTTCTCAAAGGGATCCTTCCCCGGAGGAGGACACCGAGGGCGAAGAGGCTGGGTCTGTGACTGGGACCCAACCTATGCTACTTGCCGACCGCCCTCATCTTTCGGAAGAGGTGGTGGTCGAGGAAGTCTCTGACGACGACGACCTCTACGACTTCCCTCCGGGGACCTTGAGGGGGTCCGGTCTTATCCCCGGTGTTCCCCATACTCCTCTTTTTGGCAGGGGGCTCCTCTTTCTGCCCAGTTCATGGGCCCGTTGGGTTTCCATCCTCAACCCACTGGGACCTTTCCCATTGGGCGCGCCACCGGTTCACAAGGGTCCCTTGAACCGCCACATGTCCAGGTGGCCGGAATTGGGATTCCGTGTAACACTGAATCTCCATGGGAATATTCCCCCTCCTCTGGCTGTGGGGGGGAATGAGGCAATTTCCCAGCCCCAACCGTCCACCGCCATAAATTTTGCAGAGTCAGCGGCGGAGAACATTTTTGGGACGCCCCTTGGCCAGGGCGGTGTTCCTCTCCCTCGAGCAAATATCCATCGGTCCTTTAGGGAGACGGAGGAAAAAATTCGGTCCTCCAGTTTTGGGAAGGTTATTGTCCCATCATCCGTCCGTCCCACTGCTGTTCCCGGTCCATCAACTCAGGAGACCGGGTCTTCTTCTTCTTCCCAGGCCCATCACAAGAGGGGCCGGAATTCCACTCCTCTCCCAGGCTCTTTGGTGTCCGCCGGTCCTTCCATGGGGACCGCTGATCACTTCTTTGGGACCGCTGGTGATGGGTCTCCTTCCGGGCAAGGGAGTCAGCCCTTTCCCTATGCCCGGGAGGCCTATCAGTACACAGGGTACACGGCCTGGGTTGGACGGGATTTCAACAGCAAGCTTCAAAAGATACAACAGCTTAAAAGGGACCATCCAGATGTGATTCACAGCCCAGTTTGGCCGTTTATGCAGGAGGAGTATACTCGTATGGTAAGTGTCCCCCTCCTTCTCGTTTTAAGTCTTCCACTTATTCCTTCATGCCTTTTAGGACTGCTAACTTCGACTTTCTTCCTCTTTTGATAGGCCGATTATGTTGCCACTTCCTCTGCTCAGCGCCATTCCCTTCACCTATTGGACCGCAATGCTGCTTTATCAAAGGAGCTGCGGGATTTCAAATCTCGGCACTCTATTTGTGTCGAGCGCCCGGAATACGATCGGGTTTTGTCGGAGAACGACCAGCTCTACTCTGACCGCGAGCAGCTTTCGGCCAAGGTTGGACAGCGTGAGGAATCTTTGAGGAGGGACTTGGAACGGCAAGCCAGAGAGCGTGAATTGCAAGTTTGAGAGGAGGCCGAACTTCACCGGAAGAGATTCGAGGAGGAGCTGGAGCGAACGTGGCGTCGCCGATCCGAAGAAGAGGCAAGGAAGGCGGCGGAAGAGGTTGAGCAGAGGTGGCGTCTCCAGCATGAAGAAACCGAACGTCGACTTTCCCAACGGGTTGACAAGCTAAACCTAACCATTATGGAGGAGACGCGTTCAGCTCGGAGTTCCCTTGATGAGGCCCGCCGCTCGCTCGAGAATGAACGTCTTACATATGAGGGACATATGGCTCGAATGGAGGCCGATCGCATCTCAGATTACGGTAGAGGTTTCTATCGTGGAGGATTGGAGGTCGAGCAGAAGTTTTATCATGGCCTGGAGCCCTATTCTGATGGGCAAGATCCTTGGTTGAAGTTCCCAGGCATCCCAGGACCCATGGGACCAGAGCCCTCTTTTCTCCACTCCCCTCCCCCATCTTGAATCACTGCAATTTGTTTAGGAACGGTCCTCCTGTGTTCTTCTTGTATTAATTTCTGCTTATCGTTGTAAGGACTTGTCCGTTTGCATGTCTCTGTTCTAATTTTATCTTTTTGGGGACGGTCCTCCCTCCTGCATTTTTTTTTGGAACTTCTGGGACGGATTATTGACAGAAAACGTCCTTTCCTTTCTTTTTTGCAACGCACAAACCATTTAATAAAAAAAAGGGGAAGTAGAAAACATCTTAAAAGTGATGCTCATAACCGAAAAAAAACTTGGACGGACCAGCTCCTACTGGTAGAATTTCTTCAAGTGCTCTACATTCCAGTAATTGTCCAATGTTTTTCCTTCAGAAGTAGCCAGTTGATAGGTGCCTGCACGCACCACTCTCTCCACGCGATACGGTCCTTCCCAATTCTGGGCCAGTTTTCCTCCTTTAGTAGGCTGACTCTTCTCCCTTTTACGCAAGACCCAATCGCCTACTTTGAATGCCCGAAGTATAGTTTTCTTGTCGTGATATCTTTTGGATTGTCGCTGGTACTCTTCTGCTTTTATCGCCGCATCATCCCTCCTTTCTTGCGTGAAGTGGGAATCCACTTCCATTAACTGCTCGTTGAGGATCGGGGTGTATGCCTCCACCCTTGTACTAGGGACCAAGACCTCGGTTGGCACCTTTGCCTCAAAGCCATAGGCCAAGGCGAAGGGAGTCTCTCATGTGGCTCTCCTCGGAGTGGTCCTATGGGCCCACAACACATAGGGCAGCTCTTCCACCCAGGACGTGCCCAACTCATGCAATCTCTTCTTAATACCGTCCACAATCGTTTTGTTAGCATTTTCCACTTGCCCGTTGCATTGCGGGTAGGCTACAGCGGCCCGACTGAGTTTAATTTTCCATGCATCACAGAACTCCTTGAAACTTGTGTTGGCAAACTGGGTGCCATTGTCCGTTATGATTTGCTCAGGTACACCAAATCTGCACAACAAATTTTTCCACACGAACTTACGGCAATTTTCCTTAGTGATCTTCACAAGGGCCTCCGCCTCGACCCACTTGGTAAAATAATCTATTGCCACGATCGCAAATTTCTTCCTTCCAGCCCCTTGGACGAAGGGACCCACCAAATCCAACCCCCATCTAGCAAAGGGGATGGCCGTGGTGACTGGGGTGTAAAAGGTGGATGGGCGTCCAGGGATTGGTGCAAATGCTTGGCAAATTGGGCACTTCCTTACCAATTCCAGTGCATCCTTCTTCAAAGTGGGCCAATAGAACCCCTGGAGTACCACCTTTCTTGCTAGAGTGAGGGAACCTTGATGAGCAGAACAAACTCCTTGGTGCACTTCTTCCAATATTCTTCTTGCCTCTCTCTCATTTAAACACTTGAGCATCGGTCCTCCCAAGGTCCTTTTATACAATTTCCCTCCATCCAATTGATATTTGGGAGCCATCAATTGAACTCTACGGGCCTCCTTGGGGTCAACAGGGAGCTCTTCCTTTTCAAGGTATGTGATCAGGGGGCTCATCCAAGTTGTACCTGGACCGGATATCTCAAGGACAGGGACCGCCTCTTCCCAAACAGGACAAATCTTCTCGTGCTGTCTTACCATACCCTCCATGTGGATGGGAATGGTCCTACATAATTTGGCAAGCATATCCGCTTCCTCATTCTCCTCCCTTGGAACATATATGAGTTCATAATACTCAAATTGTCCCAGTAGAGTCCTGACGCAATCCCTGTATCTTTTCAACCTTCCTTCCTTTGCCTCCATTTCCCCTTTTAGCTGCCCGATGGCCAGTTTTGAATTGGATTTAAGGCGAATGTGTTTTATCCTCATGAATAGGGCAATCTAGATTCCTCCAATGAGGGCTTCATACTCCGCTTCATTGTTGGTGGCCCGAAATGTGAACTTGAAGGAATGATAAGCCTTGAAGCCTTCGGGGGAGGTGAGGACCGCTCCTCCTCCTGAACCGTCTTTAGTGCAGGATCCATCTGAATGAATCTCCCATATCTCCTTTTTTCTTTCCTGACCGGTCCCATCCTCTTCTGGCTTTCCTCTTGCTGTGCATTCCACCATAAAATCGGCAATGACCTGGCCCTTCTTGCTGGAACGGGGCTGGTAAGAAATATCATATTGAGAGAGGACCATAGCCCACTTGATGACCCTTCCTGAAGAAGATGGGTCCCTCAAAACTGCTCCCAAAGGCTGGTCCGTCATGATTCTTACTGGGTGAGCTTGGAAATAGGGAGTTAACCTCTTGACAGTCACCACCACCGCCAAAAACACATTTTTCCAAGGGAGTGTACCTTGTTTCCGGTCCTCTTAAGGCCCTGCTTGTGTAATACACTGGCTTTTGGACTCCTTCTTCTTCCCTCAAGAGGACCGAACTCACTGCCAGGTGGGCCACCCCCAAGTACAAGAAAAGGACATCCCCTGCCAATGGCTTAGAGAGGACCGGTGGAGAGCTCAAATATGCCTTCAAGTGTTCAAAGGCCTCTTGGCACTCTGCGGTCCACTGGAAGTTTCCCCCTCCCTTTAAAATTGTGAAAAAGGGCAGGGACCGCTCCGCGGACTGCGCCAAGAACCTTCCCAGGGCCGCTATCCTCCCTACTAATCTCTGGACTTCCCTCAAATTTGTTGGTGGTTCCATGTCTTGGATGGCCTTCAACTTATCCGGATTGACCTCGATCCCTTTCTTGCTCACCATGTAGCCAAGGAATTTTCCTCCCTGGACCCCAAAGGCACATTTTTTGGGGTTCAATCTCAAATTATGCTTCCTCATGATGCTGAAGCATTTTTCCAAGTGTTGAGGATGGTCCGCTGCCTGCTTGCTTTTGATCAATAAGTCATCCACGTAGGCCTCCATGATCTGTCCTAGGACCTCCTTGAATAATAAAGAGATCATCCTCGTAAATGTGGCCCCCGCGTTACGCAGCCCAAAAGGCATGACCACGTAACAATACACTCCTTCAGGGGTGTTAAAGGCTGTGGATTCGGCATCATCCTTGTGCATGAAAATCTGATGGTACCCTCGGAAGGCATCCATGAAACTCAACAGTTCATGGCCCGCCGTTTCATCTACTAGCTGATCCACTCTTGGTAATGGAAAGGGGTCCTCAGGACATGCTTTATTGAGGTCAGTGAAGTCCACACACATGCGAAATGTGTCTCCTTTTGGTGCCAGCACCACATTGGCAAGCCATTTAGGATACTGGACCTCTCTGATGTGGCCGGCCTCCAAAAGGGTTTTCACCTCCTTCCTCACAAATTCTTTTCTGTCCGTGGACAGATATCTCTTCTTCTGCTTGACCGGGAGGGAGTCCACCTTGATGTTCAATTTATGGCAAATGACTGAGGGATCGACTCCGGGCATATCCTTGGATTCCCATGCGAAGAGGACCGAGTTTTCTCTTAATACTCGGATGATCTCTTCACGGGTATTCTCCTCTAGCCCTAAACCGATTTTTACAACCTTCTCTGGTTCTCCCTCCGGGAATAGCGCCACCTCTTCCGCTTCCATAGCTGGCTTGGGCCTCTCCCGGTCCTCCTCTCTTCTTTCTTTATCTTCAAAAACATGCCCGATGGTTTGGATGTTGAGGTTCTCCTTGTATATCCTCTTGCAGGCACTTAGATAGGCCTTCTTGGCTGCGGGTTGATCGCCAAGGACCCTCCCAACACCTTCGGGAGTCCTAAACTTGAGGCACAGGTGTTCAAGGGATAGTGCACCTCCCAAGTCCTCTAGCCCAGGCCTCCCTAAGATGGCATTGTGAGCGCATTTGATATCGACCACTACAAAATCCATCCTCATATGCCTCACCCTAGGATGCTCGCCTATGATGATGTCCAATTTAATGGACCCTTCCGGTTCAATTATGTCTCCAGTGAAACCGGACAGGGGCATGTTAAGCTTTGTGAGATCTTCCTTTTTGATTCCTAATTGCTGGGCCGCCTCCCAGTACAACACATTGACACTGCTTCCGGTGTCCACCAATATTCTTTTGACAAAATATTTGTGAATAGCCATAGAAATTACCAGAGGAGTCCGATGAGGGCTAGGAATGAGTGGTAAATCTTCGTCTGAAAAGACAATGGGCTCCCTCCTTCCTCTCTTGGCCGCTTGGCCTATGTCAATGGACCCCACATATAGCTTGCGAGCCCATTCCTTCCTCTCCTTGCTTGTGACTCCTGTTTCTGGTCCGCCAAAGATGACTCCTACTTGGGGGAATTCCTCCGGGTTCTCCTGGATTTGCTGTTGAGGTTGGGCGTCTCTACGCCAAACATTACCTCCCTGGTTCGGCTCCCGATTAGCATTCGGTTCCTTGTCCTTCATCTCTCCTTCCATCTTTTTGAGGAAATGGCATTCTTCGGTGGCGTGTCCAAGCCTTCTATGGAAGTTGCAATATTCTTCTAGGTCATAGGGCCACTGCCTTCTTTTTTGGTCTCCACGTTTCCTCTTCTGTCCACCATCCTCCTTGCTCTTAATTTCTGCCACCGGTGCAGCCAGTGACTTGAGGGTAGGGATGGAGAGAGTGGTCGCCTTGGCCTTTTCTCCTCTCTTTTCTTTGTCCAGACCTTTATGCAAGGCTCCTTCACTCTTTCCTTTCAGGCGATCTGACTCTTCCGTAGCGCAGAACTTGTTAACCTTAGCCATCATAGCTTTGTAAGAAGTAGGGGTATCGTAATCTAACTTCCTGAACAATTCCCCCGACCTGAGAACATTCATGAACAGAGCAATGGAGGTCTTATCGTCCATAGGCTCCACCTCATTGATTGCTTCATTCCATCTTTGTACCAATTCACTGTTGGTTTCCCCCTCCTTTTGCTTTAGGGAGAAAAGATGGGTGAAGTGCTTCTTTGGCTGGAACCTTCCTCCATAGGCGTTGAGGAAAAGTTGAGCAAGATCTTTGAAGCAATCAATGGTCCCGTTAGGAAGGGTGAGGAACCATTTTACGGCCGGCCCCTCCAAGGTTCCTACGAAGAGGCGACATTGGATCTCGTCTTCCACGGCGTGCATCAACATGTGAGTTTGGTACGCGGCCAAGTGATCATTGGGATCGGTGACTCCTTTATAACGGATTTCAGGGGCTTTCATAGCCCTAGGCAGTTGAGCTTTCATCACTCTGGCAGTGAAGGGAGAAATTATCTCTACTGTGGGTCCAAAAGACCCATCCTTGTCAACCTGCCTCTTTAGTTCCTCCATTTCTTTTCTCAATTTGAGGATGTCTCTGGCATCTTCATTGCCGGGACCCCCAGAATTTTCTCCAGATTCCTCAGTTCTGGGTCCCAGCCTTTGGGACGCATTTTTGCGCATCCTCTTGTGCACTGATATGCGGCCCTGACTTTCCACCTCCTCATCCTCTCCTTGGCCCGTCTCTCTCCCGGTCCGCTGGGACCGGGCCTCTCCCTCCTTGTTGAGCCATCCGATTAACTTTCGGACTATGGGGGAGTTGGCGTCGAATTTTTCTATTTCTGCCTGAGAATCCTTTGGATGAGAACTCTTTTGAGCTTTAGAGTGGAAACTCTGTTCACAAGATTTGTCTTGTGTTTCACGCCTGGATTGGGAGAGAGTTATTTGATGTCTGAGATCCTGAGATGAAAGCTTTTCTTTCCCTTCCAAGTTGGTTCGCGCCTTAGCAGCAATTTTGTTCCTCATGGACCGATTTTTGCCCATGGTGTCAGTTGGAAACCTTCTCTTGATGAAAAAGGTGGACCAGCGTGAGATAACGGCCCCCGAGCAAGAAATCGATCCTCCTGTATGATTGTCTTGCGAACGCGGTCCTCTGTGGAGGATCGATCCTCCTTTCTCTCTTTTTTTTTTTGAATGATGGACCGACTAATGCAAGGAGTCCTTCTGGGTGGACCGCGAACTTATCTCCTTCACTTGAAGTGGACCGTTGATTCTTCCTAGGTCTAGGAAGAGGTCTTTCCAAGTGAGCAGGAATGAGATAGGCTCGTTATCAACTCCCCAGAAGGCTAAGAAGCTTCAATCGGTCCCACGGGTGGCGCCAGTGATGGATACCCAATATTTTCCTAGGGACTGTGGATCGGCCCAGGTATTGCATCAGTTATTTTGAAATGTAAAATGGGATATTCAAATTAATTCAAAATAACAAGAATCATTCAACAGAATTAATGGCTAGCAATAATTGCTTATTTACACCCAAAAAACCTCATTATCTGCAATTAAGTGAAATATCAGTTTCTTTTCATTTCAAAATTGAATTTTCAAAATTATGATACTCTTTATTCCTTTTCAAATAGCTATCACAACCCTATAAAATCATACATCCACAAGTTACTTTTTACTTGCATACATACGACTAAACCTTCATACAATAATAATCATGAACATGTTTTCCTTAAAGTTCATGTCTCATTTTGTTTGCATTCCTCTTATTTAACATCAGGTGGAAAGCAGCTTGGGCAAGGCCAAATTCCTTAAAGTCCCTGCGGTAGGGGAAATTAATCAGAACTTACAGACCACCATTTTCCTGTGATTATCGTTTTAAAAGCCAAGGTACTCTCTCAAACGTAGAATGTCTTAAAGTTTTGTGTCTGTGTTTTGGAAGTGGTGTTTCACTTGTTTGTTAGGCTGGATTTGGGGTTAGGATCTGGTTTTTGGCAATTGGCAGATCATGGGTATGCTTTTAATACTGATTTAGGGGTTTTAGGTCTTGTGCTTGGGTCAAGGTCTTCTTATTTGCGGTTACCTTGTGTTATTTAGACAGCTCCAATATTCGTAAACCGAAGCAACACTTCCTTCACAAGTGAAATCAAGGGTCTTAAAAAAAATAATCTCACACTGCATACGAATTTTGTTTAAATACCAAAGAACAACGGAAAGAAATGCATCAAGTGACCATTGCTTAATCATATATTACACCATTCACTTACACTTAAATAAATATTATAATAAAAATCAATGAAATAATATATTCATTCAACATAAAACACTACTAACCACGAAATACTCGTTACTGCAAACCCATTCTGTAACAGAATTTGATTTGTTTCGATCCGTTTTACTGATTACTACTACTCTTATTCACTATGTTCTATATTCAACATTAAGGATTTTATGTCTTCAGTAACCTCAATTCTTGGTTATTATCACTCCACTCCACATTTTATTTTTGGCCTACGTAATGCCCTGGGAATTTGTTTCTATCTTTAAAGATTCACTATGACACCGGGACTGCTCTTTGGGTACTTTTGCGCCTTTGAGTTTTAAATTACTGTCTAACAACATTTATGGGTCAGATTTTGCATTGATTTATCCCTAATCTGTTTGTCAAAATAATTTTTCAAACAAGGTCACATTCAAAACTCTACGCATCCGGCTACCTAAACGACATCCAAATTGCTACCCACTTCCATTCTTTGATCCTGGCCAGCCACCGGCACTGCTTGATTTAGGCTTGACACCAACATCACTTGATTCAAACCCGTCAGCGCAGTATGGCTCTGAATACTCATATTTAAGTAGACATTGAGGATTTTTGACTTTTTGAGGATTTAAGGGAGGGATATTTTTGTGTTGACTTTCCAAAAATACCCTTGATATGATATGTAAAAGTAAGATGTGATAGGTAGCTTATTAGTAAAAAGCTATGATGTGATAGGTAGGGTATGAAAAAGTAAGGGGTAAAAAGGGTTTTTAAGGGAAAAGAGAAGTTTATTTAGGGACAAAGAAAAAATGAAAGATGAACTTTATTTAGGGACGGAGGGAGTAATACATATTGAAGAGCGGGACAAAAAAAATAACAAATACTGATAATAAGGCTTAAAAGGTGTAATCTTTGGCATCATTTAAATACTGTTTTTACTGTTACTGTTGGAAATTCATTTTCACTTTTGCTTATACGGTTTGGTTTCGTAATTCTATAACACTTCTCTTAGGAAACATAGGCAAAACATCACCCATTAAACTAAAGCTATGATCATAGGTCCAACCCAGTCATCACACATCCAATACGAAATGGTCAAGTTTAACACGTGAATCTGCCCATGGGTCAGTATTCCAGTTTGAACCCCAATGCATCGACAAATAATTGCATAACAATATTGGTATAATTACATTACCAAATATCCCCAACAGAATATAAATTTACATAGTTCTGACCCAACATATTGTGTTATGACATAGTCTTTGAGTACTTGCCATATTTTTCATGTGGTTTTTATGTCATCTGAGAAACACTTTTCAAATTTAACACTAATTTCATCAAGTTTGTGTAATAGAAGGAAAATTTCAGCATTTGCGTTAACCCCCTGGGTTACTGCATCATAGGAACAGAAAATTACATCTAACAATATGAGTTCCTTAGATTGTATTTCTTAGAACAAAAAAAATTCCACTACATGACTCTGACAGTCAGGTCCTGTAACAATACCTCACTAAGACTGGTTTAAATTTCAAAACTGTTTACAAGATTAATCTTTAGCATCAGATTTTTTTATGGGATACATCAAGATTTTTTGTTGCTTCTAATTTCAAATATTAAAAACCAAACTAAAAATATTCATTACTGCCTGTTAAAAACCTTTTACAGGTCTTTAAAACCATACATTAACAACTTCATCCTTGCTTAGTACTACATTTGTTTTGGACTGGAAGCAGATGCCCAACCCAAACCGCAACAAAGGAACCAAAACTCAAACACAACCCTACAACTTAACTTCAAATAACCAGCCCATAACTAGATTCAAGTCCAAAAGCCCCTAAAGTAGAATTAAAATCAAAGCCAATACTTAACCTCAAACCAAAACTATATTTCTATCTTAGGTTGTGGGGTAATACCTAGGTTCTAATATGTGTCTTCCTTTAACAATATTTTAGTATTAATTTTAGCGACCCAACAACTGACATAGAAAACCCCAATACCATAATCCAAAAACAAACCCAAACTCTAAACCCAAAACTCCACACCCAAAGAACTTCTTGCTTGCCTACATATGAATTATGATTTTATACGTACCTAGATTACAAAAGTTTTATCAATAAAATGCACAACCAAGTTACTGGTAAACCAAGTTTTTCCCTACCACCGGGTAACTTCTGTTTGCTGTGGTTTGGTCTACCACTGCCCGTTTCTTTCATACCTAGGTTCAATTCTTGTTGCCCTACTCAAGTTATTTAATGTTTATTTCCTTAAATTATAATGTGGTCTAATGAAGGTACACAATATGGCAACAAAGCAGTCGTAACACAGACTTAACCTTTAACTACTTGGGACCTACATGAATACACAGGATTGGGAATAGAAACCTAGGCTGCATGTCACCCCGACCGTCACTTCAATGCCATCGTTCTAGCTTCCTAGCCATATCCCATCTTTCAATAGCACTTATGAATATTCCTTTAAGGCACGCTTTTGTAACTCATGCTTTTGGATTAATGCAAAGTTCCTATATTTGAAAACCAATTACCCCCTTTGAATGTACTTCTATGCGCCTACTGCATACAACTTCGATTCCACCTTGTCACTTATCCCTTTTTAAATTTTTAACGTTCTTCTTCTTCACTTGCTTTCATTGTTTGTTTTGTTCGCCATGACTAAACTTTGTGTTAAAGGGGTATGCCCGATTCAATTGTATGTATATTATGCATTTCTACTTTGTATTCAGACAAAACTTAATAAATTACATTACACCCTTAAATGCTGTGCAACTTTTAATTCATTCCTATGCATAGAATTTCCCTACTTCATGTTTCCTTTCTTACCATTAATCTTATTCATTTTTTAAAAGGTCTAGCAAATGACAACAACGTATTTCTAACCCAATAATTTACATACTACTGTCATTGCTTAAAAAACACTGCAAACAATCTTTATTAGTACGTACACAATATTATTGCACAATATCCAATCAATTACTCAGAAATAACATAACCCTTCTTGGAAAAAAAAGATCGGGCACTAAAACTCGCGCAACGCGCACGCAAATGCTAGTACTTAATAGATATGTGGGTGGGGGTTGTGGGCTTACTACGGGTAGGTTTAGGAATTCTTATACTTTAATATTATATATTATAATATCTTTATATTTATTTATTGAACTGTGATGTCTATTTTACTCACCACGCTTTACACATATGTCCAAATTTAACAAATTATATGTCGTTGGTCACCATTTCTTGAGATTTATCCGAAAACCCAATTTTCATTTAAAACGGATAACTTTACCAATAATTCATATTTTAGAGTAAACAAATATTATGTTTATTTTTATTAAAATTACGGCTAACTACTAAGCCGGTTTTCGGGTCGTTACAGGTTACCTGGTATTTCTTATTTTTGGAATTAGGATATGTAGAAGCATTTGCATTCACGATTATATCTTATGTAACTTCACTAAAACTACAATTCTCAATAGAGCCTGAACTTTGCAACCGATACGAAGGCCAAGTGACCACCTTATATCTTTATTCTGTAATGACTGGTAATAACTAATGACTGCAAATTAAAATTTTTACCATGTTCCTTTGTTATTCGAATAGAGAGTGCATGTAATACTCTATTCCCTAACCGGTTTTTGACCCCCCCACAATATATTAGTTGTTTTTTAAAAACTTCTGCCATTGCTTATAACTCCTAAATCACACTCCATGTCATCTTTATAACCAATCTTTTAGATTAACAAGTCTGAACTGAGGTACAATGCCAGCACTGTGTTATTAATGTGTTTCTTTGTGCGTGTGTCTATTGTTGGAATTTTTGGCATTTTTATTAGGCATTAAATGGACCAACTAGAGTATATTTGTCAATAGGTCCACTAACGGTTTTAACCGTTAATCAATGGACGTATTTTCTCTTAAATGAGATAAATGTTTTGACAAATATTACGCCAAAAATGGTAGAGGGTGAATGAGAAATTGATTCTCAGAGTTAACCCGTTAATAAAAGAATATGGTGAGGATTGCAATTTTT